TTCAAACCCGTTGGGGATGAATGGCCATCGCTTTATTTTCACGCACAGCTTAAGCTACTCCTTGTAGTGTACGTCGACGATCTTAAGTTGGCGGGTCCGTCCCAGAACCTCAAACGCGGCTGGGAATTACTCGGAAGTGAGCTCAGGCTTGAACCTCCAACTCTTTGGGTTTGTATTTGGCGTGTAACATCACCAAAGGTGAAAGTGAACTCCACGACAAAACCAAAGTTCGCACAGTAACTTACGACATGGAATCCCATTTGGAAATGACGGTCAAGAAGTACACCGATGTCACGGGGGTCACTCCGGATAAGTTGCGGAAAGTGGCTACTCCGAGCCTGCCTGAGGAGACGAAACATCATCCTTCACGGGCAGCCGCAACGCGGGGCCCTTCTCATCGATGTACATGGTGCGGACACACAATGCCTGTTGACGCGGATGGTCGGCTTATTCCGCCTCCTCCTATTCCTGAGGCGCCCAAGGAAGAGGAATTCCTGAGGCGCCCAAGGAAGAGGAAGTCACAGACACCAATCGCGGGGCTTTGGCTCCTCATGCTGCAAGCATATTGATGAAGCTACTCTACGCTGCGCGCATATGCCGCTTCGACCTGCTTCGTTCCATCAATAACCTTGCTCGCAAGATCACTAAGTGGTCCGTCAAAGAGGATGCCGGGCTTCTCCACTTGATCAGCTACGTTCATCACACCAAGCATCATGAGATGATTGGGTGGGTAGGCAACAGTCTGAAGGATCTTTCCATTGGTCTGTTCGCAGATGCCGACTGTGGCGAAAGCCTCCGGTCTACCTCAGGTGCACACATGCACATACAGGGTAGTCACACCCGTTTTCCTCTGGCCAAGGCTGCGTCAGCCACTCTACTCCAGAGGCTGAAATCGTCGCCGCTGATTATGCTATGTCTTGAATCGGGTTACTGGCCATTACCTTGTGGAAACTGCTGTCCGCGGCGGATCCCAATTTTGTGTTTTATGATGACAATCAAACCATGATTGGCGTCGTGCGCGCGGGTAAGAATCCAACTATGCGTCACCTAGAACGGTCTCATGGCATTTGCGTTGCGTGGATGCATGAGGTGTTTCAGGAAGGTTATGTGGGTTTGGCATATGAGGTCACCGCGAAGATGGCGGCCGACATCCATACCAAAGCGTTCAAAGATGGTGTATCATGGGCGCACGCATGCCAGCTCATTAACATTTTCCCTCCTGAGCAGCTTCACACGGTTGAAATCATGGACATGATGAAGCCGACGCATGACCAGGTGGCGGATGCCAAGGGCAAGAGCCAGCGTGTTCACAATTACCGGAATCAGACCCCGTGTTTTCCATATACCGAAACCCCGATATTGCCTGACGAACTTTATCGGGCGGGCCTTTCCAGTAAGGAAGGCCTGCAGGAGATCGATGGGGGTGTGATCCCATCGTGGTCGTCAAGTTTCCTCGAATGTTACGTCCGCCGCCGGCCGCTATTCCGCCTGGTCGTTACCAACGTTCCACGTGGGTGCTGCGTGAGGGCAAGTGGACGCGTCTTGAGGATCATGTTGACATTCCTGAACATCGCCAACAGTTTGATCGCTATGTGGAGCGTGCTGTATTCCAGTATCACTTCCAACGTGCTCGCCTACCCTCCACGCCGGTGGCGGTGTCACCTACGGTGCCCGCGTTGCATGTCGGTGTACTACCTGTTCATCGCTGTGACGTGTCCCTACAAAGGGTGGTTGCCGCGCTTGCGCGCGCCATCCATGGGGGGAGTGTGGGACAGATTTATGACATTTTCGAACGTAATGTGGACATGAACATCCCATGGTTCTGGAGCTGTCTCTGTCAAAGCTTGGCTATCCGTGTAGATGTCGACCGAAAGAGAGGGAAGCGCAACTTGCTTGACGATGTGCCTTACATTCCTGCCAAAGTGCAAGTGAAATCAACTTGTAAACCTCCCGTCACCAAGTTCTGCAATGCCAAAGGCAAGGTGCTATACACCTACGAGTCGGCCAAACTCCTTGACGACGCTCAAGGCGGCGTGCTTGGAGCCTCACTAGACCCAGAACTCGCCGCTGAGATCACCATATGGGGGGCTGATTTGGCCAAGCCGTTATGGGTGCTGGCAGGAGTCGATGAGGAGAATTGGTGGAACGACTTCGTGCCGGACGAGGTTCAAATAGTGTGCTCTGGATCCAAATTGTCCGGGTCTACCTCGGGATACTATCAACGAGTAATCGAGAAATGTATATCCAAAGAAAATGACCTGGTGTACATCGGATCTGGCGCCGTCGGAGTGTCTTCATGGCTGGACAAGCATCCTGGAGCACGAGATGAACCCCGATGTGAGTCACCCGAGTACCCCTACAGGGACTTGGGCCTCGTGGCGGCTGAGGTCGCCAAGAGCGGGCTCCGTGTTGTGTTCGAGCTACCCGGTCAGGTAAGAGTGCAGACCTCTGAACAGTGTAAAGCGATGACAAACAGTAGCGGAGCCAAAGTGACGACATTTGATGGATGTTGCTTTGGGCATCGAGTAACTATGTCATTGCAGGTATCCTATGTCAAGTCAAAATGGAGGATGCTGTCATGGTGGGTTGACCTAAGCGTGCTGTCCAAAACCTGCGACGGGAATCATTCACACGCAGGTGTTGGAGCGCATGGTGAATATGACGGGGATGTAAGGAGGACGAGCAAAGTCGCCCGAAAGCTCCTGCGAAACTTGGCCGGTGATGGCACTAAGGAGGCAATGGTGACGACTTGCCCGTCGAAGGGCGAAACCGTTGACAGAGTCATGATAGAGTTTTGCTGTGGTCAAGATAGCAATCTAGGAAAACCTACTAGAGCTAGTCAAGGCTGCGAGGTCATTAGAGTCCATGAACGCATTGATGCTAACTCTAAATCGTGTGATGACATGGTCTGGGGGGAGCTGAAGTCGGTGGTTAAGGACAGCCCACGCGCAAAGGTGCTTGTTTACGCGGCACTTCCGTGCACTGGGGGGTCAAGTTGGCAATATGTCAATGAGGCTAAAGGCCCTAATGAAAAGGTGAGGGAGAGGAAGCGGATGTTTCGTAAGCTTTTGAAGTCTCTCAAGCGCCTCATGCTGCGGCTTGCGGATTATAAGCCGTATCTCGCCTTTGAACTGCCGAAGTCATGTGCCTATTGGAAATGGCCTGAGGTGCAGTCGCTTGTCAAACAGTACAATCTTGTTAAGTTTCGAGTTGACGGATGTGCTGTAGGTGTTGTCGATCATGCAGGGGCGCCATTGTTGAAATCATGGTGCGTTGCGTCTAACGTTATCTGTATGAATGTCATTGAGAAACACCTGTGCGATGGCAAGCGTGTGCATGGTGTTGCAAGGGGTGAAGTGTTAAAGAGAGCCGAGAACTACGCTCCAGCGTTTGCACGTTCCATTCATGAAGCATGGAAGAACGAATGCATGGACCGCAGGCGGATCAAGTCAGCAATTCAGGGTAGGAACAAAGCTCACAATCTTGCTTTGCCTTGTTGTTGTCAATCGTGTTCTGTGTGGTAAGTCTAAGGGACCCGTGTGTTCGACCTACGGTCAACACTCCGGGGATAAAGTGCACTGTGGTAGTCGCTCTTGCCCTGAGGTGAGAGTGGACTACGTCCCTCGATCCGAGGGGCGCGCAATGGCTGGTGATGGACACACTCCATGGCAAACGTCTTTCGAAGAAGGCGATCCACTACCAGGGCATTCATCGACGATGCCACCGGTGTGCTTTCCCGACTTCGACAAGCCCAGGAACAACTACCTCCGAAGTTTATGCATGGAATGGTTGCTCCAAATCACCAGATCATGAATTGGGCAAAGGCAGGAGTACCCGTCGTCTTCGTTGCGGCAATTTCAGCACCATGCAGCCCGCGCAACGATCGGCAGACTCGACCCCGCGAGCTATTCCGTGCACTCGTCTATGCCTTGAACGAGCCAGGTTGGCATCAGAGCTATCGCGACCTGGTAGCCAGAATCAAACGTGCATCGTTCTGTCTGGCTCGAATCCAGAACGACCTATTGCAGCAGACCACGAGTATTTTATTCGACCTGGTCGACTTGGAGCTGCTCAAGGACGTCAACCTGTTCGTGGATGTGTTGGAGCAAGACGCTAGGGATTCCAAGGTAGACCCGGCTGCCTCCGCCTTGGAAGTGGTCACAGACACGGACTACCTGAATCCGGTGCTCGTTTGCAAACCTATTCCGGTGCCGACTGGGTTCATTCACACTACCCGCTATCAGGCCTGGTGCGAGGCTCAGCAGGTGTACTATGAGAGTACTCCCGCTGGCGTAAAGTTGGGATGGAACACCCTCATCCTACTGCGCAATTCGGTCGAGAATTTCTGCAGCCACATGGCCTACGGCCTGCGGACGCACAATCGTGATCACCCGGACTATCGCGAGTTGGATGCACCGCTGGCCTATGCGTTGAACTGCTTCCAGGCATTGAACGTATGCGCTCGAACGCTCAGGCTATATTCCATCGACCACTCGTACCAATGGCCGGAACAGGAGGACCTGAAGGGAACCATCGATGAGATTTTGGACCTCCTATCCAAACCTGCTCCAGCAGGCGCGGGACTACCCCACACCATTGCAGTCGCTTCTTATAATCAATTGAGGATCGAAAGTGGATTGCTGGCGGACTACTCCTGGATGAACCAAGCCTTCAAGATGTGGAACCAGGCCATCGAGGACATGGATCAAGATATTGACCGTGGCCTACGGCCCGGTCACGTTTATCTGATGCCAGGTGACACGAACTTTCGCCGTCCCATTGCGGCCTCCATGGGCAAGGGCTGCTCCTCGAGTTGGTGACGCTGACAGTTCTATTCCCGAAGGACCTGCGCATCCTCTCCTACAACCTACCGCCAGCCGCACATCGCCTCCAGCGCCGACGCAAGACCGGTCTGAGCAAGTCCTGAAGAGAAGCAGGACTACACCGGAGAGTGCGCCAAGGCCTACATCGGCGAGGACAACGGCGGCATCTGAGGCAGCTTCATCCAGTGGCCGGCCAAGACCTACGGTCGGGTCGAGCACGGCCACCCCCTCCACCAGTGAACCTGAAGCACCACCTCCTGAAAGCGGATGGGATCTACCCGTTGACACTACAAATGCTGTGCTCATCACGCACCATTTCAAAGTGAAATCGGGCAAAGTCTATGGGACGAAGGTCGCAAAGCGCCGGGATGGTGGAGGTTTCATGAACGCTGTGGACGAGACCCCGAGGCCTGTTATTGGCAAGACCTTTCAGCAGATCTATTTGAGGCGATTGGTTACGATGCTGGCGAGATCAGGTGGATTGTCCGCGAACGTTGAGGCAGGATTCCACCTACCCACCTTCATATTGAAAGGGGATGAAGAATGGCTCCGGCTCTACAATCAAGTGTATCAACGTATGCATCTGGGTTGCGCCGAATGCCTTCCGGAGCCGGCAGTCCT